ATAGGGTTTCAGCGCTTGGTGCATGGCGCGGCTTCTTTGATAATTGGCGTCCAGCTGGGTGGCGGCGGTGTACCATTTTTCAATGGTAACGGGAACGGTCTCCATCTTGTAGATGGCGTTGCGGAGCTGGGGTTTCATTCCAGTTTCAAAGAAGTGGATGAGAGCGACGCTCTCCTTCATCGAGGACTGTGTTGCGAGGGTCTTGAACTCGGCAATGTAGTCTGCGATGTCGTTGCCCTGTCTGAGGGTCTTTAGTTTCGTCATGGCGGTTACCTTGGCATCTACACTCAAGAAAGAGGCTTTGAACTCTTTCTCGAAGTTTTCGAAGGTGCCGAGCGAAGGAGTGGTTTGAGCGAGGGCTTCAGCAACGAAGTTTGTCTTCCAGTTGAAGGCGGTCCCCGACGCCATATAGGCGAGGGCAGTACCAACCTTCTTGGTATCGCTGTTGTAGACTTCATGGTTAATCATGAAGAAAAGCCTTATACTAAGGAGCCATCCTTGCGCCTTATCCAGGTCGCCATCAAAGTCATGGGGTTGCCCTGCCTTGAGTTCGACAGGGGTCTTGATCGTCGTGGGGTTCGACATTCTAAAGCTGGGGTTCGCTGAGAGGTTTCTTGGTGGACGTTCTTCAGGGAATTCGTCTGACGAAGTGGAGTCGTTTTCTTCAGTCTTCGTCTCTTGATCAGGGTCTTGGTTGGCCTCTTGATACTGTTCGTCGAGGGGTTGTTCCTCCTCTTCTTCGGGGTCAGAGTCCGGGGTATTGGGATCTCTTTCCCAATCAAACTTCCTAGTCCAGGAAGGCGTGTCGAGATCCTTGAGATGAAAGGATCAGTAGGAAACTTGAATCTTTTGTTACGAACGATGCGTGTTCGCAACTAGAACTTGGATAGGGGTTCTTGCGAAGTCTGCTGAGACCAGCGGACGTTCGATCGCAAGAGTTCTTGAGCAAAAGACTTCGTCTGGAAGAACGAAGGCTTTTATCGACGATTACGACGGCGTGTCTGTAATCGTACTTCTTGTCTAGCAAGACTATTTAAGCGATGAGCTTTAATAGAAGTTAAGATGAGAAGGCGAAGCTTGCTTAAGGCTTCTAGCAGATAGGCAGGTAGAACCAAGTAGATTCAAGTTAGAGAATACAAGCGATACCCTACTGGTATATATAGGTAGGAAGTGATTGAGGGCAGGACTGCCGTATTAGTGGTAAGGGTAAAGGGGAACACGAGTCAGAGATAAGTACCGGTTGGACAGTAAGGGTAAAGGGGACAATGAGTCAGAGATAAGTACCGGTCAGGCGGTAGGGGCATAGGGTTGTGAGTCAGGGAGACGAAACAACGGTAACAGTAAAACGTGCGCAGCGTTCTAGAATGAGCGGCGCGTTCGAAGTGAAATGACGTAGTAAGTACAAAGTGAGATGAGTTTAAAGAGAAAATGAATAGGGGCCTCACGTGACCCGATGTTCTTGTAACACCTTGACGTGCAAGTCATTCAGTGGGGTTGCACTAGACCTTTTGTGGCAAAACCTGGATGGCTTTGAACCACTTATCAGATGTCTCCCGCAGAGCCTATGGGAATGGGAGGGACCAAGATTGGTAGGTCAAGCTTTGCTCACAATGAGAGTGTACCAGTTCACTCCATTTGCCAGGTATTTCGAAGAACCATGACCTTCGACGACTGGTCTATCTTTTGCAAATACAACCATCGTGTCCGTTCATTCAGAACAAATTGCATTCTAATGGTCGCCGGTACCAAATTTTGGCGTGCCCTTAGCTGTGCTCCCTTCCCCATTCCCTTACTCCCCAACTTGATGTCTCTTACGTGGGATCTGCTTACCACTGATATATTTATGTATATCTGGTTGTTTGTCACTCCGAAATTAGTGAGGCTCCATATCACCACCTGCATCTTTGGTCCATCCGAACACTCCGTCTTGTCATGTATCTCGATGATGTGCCCCTCTGTCTCGCATTTCAGCTTTTCTTCATCCACAGGTTCAGAAGACACGTCAACTGCATTGCATTGTTGGTCTCGCCTAACATCGGTGACCACTAGAAGAGTTTCGGAGGCAGCCATACTCCACTTGTTCAAGTTGCCTTCACTCCGAGTTCTGAAGTTTCATCTACCACCAACTCCTATATCTGTGGATACCAAAAAGCTCCTGCAGGGTTCTATGCTCTGCGCATTGCAAGAACTGACTGTAGTATGCAGCAGTCTGGTGCCCATAGATGCGTTTTTTGAGGGTCTCTTCATCGCTCCAAAATTAATATGCTTCAATATTTTGGGGGGAGTGGATTCTGTCCGGGCCCTGCCGGCTTCGATTTCCCGTGTATCTGATACATGCGCGCACAACTCACTGGAACAGATACAACTCTTCATGACCGATTGGGTTGCTGATCACAAGATTTCAATCAGGCTCGCAGTGTTTAAACCGCTCTTTGCATTTCACAATCTTTGCAAGCTCAACTTCGAAGCGTACCACCGCTGTGTTATGCGATGGGACGATTCTGTCCTTTTGCAGATGGCTAAGGCCTGGCCCCTCCTGGAAGAGCTACACTTCAACAAATTCGGCCACTCGAGTCACGGAGTCACTCCAAATGCCTTCATTTCGTTGTTGCAACATTGTCCCCGTTTAGTCTCGGTTGCTGTTCTCATGAATTGGTCCACAATAGACGGACATGAGATCTCCCCTGATGTTCCATACCAAGGATTTGCACACAAGGCGCTGTCTCAAGCATTCTTTGGCAGTCCAAGAATTCATCATCTGACAAGGATTGCTGCCTTTATTTCAGCCATCGTGCCCAGAGTGGGATTAGTTGCTTCATGGGTTGGAGAATCTAGGGACCACCCAAACTTTGAAAAATACTACATCAGGTGGAAAGTCGTCCAGGATTTGGTCAAGTCTTTCTCCATGGTCCGCGAGCAGGGGAGGAGATTGATGCTGGTTGCAGGTGAAGGTGTTGACGATCGTGGGATTGAAGGTTCACACAACCACATTGGAATTGCACCTTCAGTACAGGAAAGCGAAGATAGAGATGTGGTCGTCGGTGGAGGTGGGGAGGTTTATGAGGATAGTGGAAACGAGAGCAATCCAGAGTATGTGTCTAGTGATGAAGACTCGGAGGAGGGATTTTAATCATCATGCGGACCAATTCTCCGGACCCTCGTAAGCTGTGGTCTAGCTGTAGACCATTGAAATGCACTTCAGAGTACAGAGGACTACAGAGGACGGTAACAACGACATTGATTTGCATCCTCTTGTAGCTTTTTGTGCTCCACAGCTTCGTCAATTTATCCGATGCAGTCAAATCGCCGCCAGGACTAGGGTACGGGTGAAAACCCGTTCTTTATTAGCAGTGTTGATAACAACATGTTAATAACTTGTTAATAACAGTTAATAACATGGGTGCCGCACAGGAGGGGTTAATAAAGTGCTAATAAGTCAAGTGACCCCTGCGCGCGAGGGTCCATGATCGTCGACTGGACTCTCGGCACTGTGCAAATCATGCAAATCATGCAAAGAAGACAGCGAGAACAACTGCAAAGTATCGCAATGGCATTTTTCCAACTTTCTCTAAGCTCTTTGAATCACTCGCCTGTCAGACACTAGCAGTTATGGTTGAAAACAACAACTCGGACTCACTTTTTGCCATTCCAGACCACATGCGGTCTATTATTTTTCCAGACAAAAATATGTCTGTGTTGTTTCTTTTACTGTTTCGACTTCCATCCCCCACTGTGACAGAACCCTCATCTTTACATCAGTATTTCAGTAACGACGACCCATGCCATGAAAACTCGTATCCCTATTACCTTCGCACACACACTACACCTACTCCTGAGGTTTTACAGCACCTCCTGGATCATGCACCACATGCAAACTCTGCTGGTAGCAGATCTGTACTCTACGGTCACACTGACACAGAACAACGCTTTCCTTTCTGGATTCTGAGATTTTGGCTCGAAGTCCCTGCCTTACTCAATATCCAATCGAAGTGGCGTTGTGCAGAGACTTTCCTGACAAAACGGGAGTCTAATCCCATGGCATGCACCTTCTGTGCTTCCATGGACAGATTATGCTGGTCAGGTGCAACATCAGGCTTCAGTGATTGGGCCCCGATCCATGATCTTGCGAACTTTGCATGCAGGGAATGGTTAAGTGATCATACTAATCTAAATATGATGCTTGATATTATCTATGCAGGCGAGGATGCAGTGTCGAAGCATACCTTTGAGCAGACATATTTTGTCTCTATACTGTTGGTGGCATATTGTGACTGTACCCAGGGCACCTATCTCTCCGCACGGGAGACACAGTGTCTTCGAACTGCTGCAGAGGGGTTATTCCTGGATTGCCGGCATCAAACCCTTGGATTCCCGTGCAATATCGACAACAGTCACTGGACGGCAGTTGTGATTGATGCAACTGACCACAAAATTTGCTACAGAGATTCATTCGGCACTATGGTTCCTCGATTTCTGAAGGATGCGATCAACTGGTGGCTGTCCCACCATGTACCTGCTCCACTGGATTGGGACACTCTCGAAGTCATCCGTCAGGAAGATTCACACTCGTGTGGTCTATTTGCCATCAATGCCATTGTGCATTACATTTGTCCATTGAAGTTTCCACTTTTATCACCACTTTTAGAGGACACAGATACTGCTTGCATGCATTTTGGGTACACTATCATCGACTGTCATGTAAGTTCATTCTTTTTACCAGTTTGCACCATGTTCTGATGTTCACTTCCAGCTCACTTGTTCATCCCCAGTCAAAACATACTTACACTGTGGATAGTAGTTCCAGTGAAATTCATTGGGTGAAATCATATGATAATGGTCTGAAACTCAGAGCATTACGTGCTGAAATCAGGGTGCTGAAATTGCCATTTTTTACTCTGAAATTTTACTCTGAAAAGATACTCTGAATTTATGTTAGAATGACAAGCAAAACTATTGAACCATACCCTAGGAACCCAATTTACCTGTGATAGATCATAATTTGCAAATGGCTGGAATTGAACCAAAGACCTCATGTTGATAGGTGCAGCGATATAACCACTAAGCCATAAGTCCTGTACAATATATGCATGGTGACACCGACATATACCAAAACGATGTCATAACAGAAATGTGAAAATTCTGCTGTGATGGTGCCAGGTCATTCAATTATTGAGCTCCACAGCAGATTGATCTCCTGAGCTAAAATGCTAGTAGGATTGGAGTATGGTGCTGAATTCTGATTCAGTATATTTTCCACTGAAATTCAAAATCAGCGCTCCAATGAAATTAACTGCATGCAATTTCAGTGGAAGTTACTCTGAAACATTCAGCATCAGCGCATTTTCCAGTGATTTTCATCGGAACTACTATCTACAGTGCTTACCACCATCAACTCCATCACTTTCAGAGTTTTCTTCGTTCACGAAGATGAACACACCTGCAAGAAATTGTCAACAAGTCCCCACCCTCGTTGATATGACACAAATTCAGCAGTGGCACATGTATGATTCTGAGGTTAGTTGTGTATTGACCTAATTCAAGCTGGAACTAACCATGCACAGAAAATCGCAGAAAGACAGCGGCCTGATGTTGCATTCTGTGACATCGAGTCTGTAATTTCTGCTCCTACTAAGTCCCCTGCCAGTGTGGACCAGACAGAAAAGCATGAATCAACAGGGAGCTATTTATCCGTGGACACCGCTGACGGAGAGGAAGAGATGCTCGATGAAGAATATACTTGGCTGGATGAGGCAGTCGCATCTGTGCCAGCTCAAGATTCAGCCTTCGAGGTCGAGGCCGAAGTGGATATCCATGCACCAATTGTGACAAGGATCTTGTCAGATAAACATGAGAGTGTAGCTGACCAGGCTCTAGTGAATGATGGCCACAGCAGTGATGGACCTAGTGACCTGGAGGATGCGGACACCAAGTGGACCAACTGGTAGAGAACTTGGTGAAAATTTTGAATTTTTGGTCACATGATTGTTAAAAACTTGTTAATAACTTGCTTGTTATAATTCCCTGTGAGCGACATGCTAATTAACCGTGTTAATAACTGCTCAAAGAGTTTTCACCCGTACCCTAGCCAGGACTATGCCTGGTGCCACGTAAAGTGTTTGCTTCCCAGAGTCAAGCTCCTGGTGGACACCAGTAAGTTCTACAGGATTGTTGATGTCTGCTCATAAGTTGTTGGCACTGATTGCATGAGACAATGGTGGTGTCTCACGAGTATTGGCTCGTGATGAGGTTGTGATCTCTATTGCTTGTCCATTATAAGGGACCGTACTGGACAAATTATTTTCGCTTTGCAAAACTTATCTTGAGCTTAGATTTGCGTGTCACTATGATATTTTGATTTTGACCTTGATGTTGAGCTTGACTTTGACGTTTTGATTTTGACTTTGAGCTTGACCCTCGGCAAGTGCCGGCCGGCACAACAACAACACCACCGGGCCACCACCCATGTTCTCTGCATCCACCCAATGCCAAACCTTGACCTGAATGATGCATGAAGAAGTATTGGCACGATGGAGATGGATGTCCTTGTCCATCCGTGCGGGGAGCCGTTACATCCCTGATCCGACATGCCTCTTGGAGGTCAAACTAACGCTAATTGTTCTAAATTTCTCCAAGTTAAAACGGGAGGGTTTTCCTGATGAACATTTAAGCTTCAGGCACGATGGTTTTGTTCATTTTATTCTATGTATACGCTACTGACAATTTTTCATGTCTGCTTGTTCCCAAACCAAGTTTTTCCCTTCCTTCGATGAGTGCCCATCACTTCAGCAACCCCCACAGCTTCGTGGTTTGATCTACATGCGCTGCTCACTTGCCTATCCCCACTTTACTATATGATATCTTATTTCAAAATTGTTTCTCATTTCTAATTACTAGTCTCGAATGGTGAAGTCGAATTTGGTGCGTAGCCCTTGCTCTATCCTCATACACATCCATCTTAACCCACCACAGATAACACATTCTTCTACGACCATCAAACTTCTGCACTGCACAATACTTTTCCCATGGCAGACGCGTCACCCTCATCGATGAAAGTGGAGCAGGCAAAAGCACATTCCTGTACCTCCTGTACCTCCTGTACCACTTCTATGACCTCCAACCCGGCTCAGGGTGTATCCTAATTGACGGTCAAGGCATCCGCGTGACAATGCTCTCAAGCCTGCGTCGCGCAATAGGCGTCGTACCCCAAGGCCCTGTGCTCTTCAATGCTAACATCGGGTATAACATCGCTTATGGCCAGCCTTCTATCACACCCCCTGATGAAAGCACCATCATTTCAAGTGAAAACTAGATCACCTGGATGATGCAGCTCGTCAGTCAGTGGACCCACCAGACGCTCCACCAATATACCTATGCATCTTATGTGGTGCCGACTGTGCGACCAGGACGCCCCTGTATCGAAATCGAGCAATCTATTCTAGCACCTACTATTGAACTTCACGGTCCGACACAACTTGCAGCGGTATTTCAAGTATCAGCACGAACTGTGCATCGCCGTGCCTTGGAGTATGGCTTAGTAGAGCCAGGAGCCCCAGTGTATGTCGATTATAAAGCTGAAGATGGGACTGTGACGCGATGTAGAGACTCGCGTTTCTGCAGGCGCATATCCGCACATTTCGCACCTTTTCACAACTCATGACAATTGGCTTTCATGGCACAACTCGCACCATCATCCATATGCGACTTCTATCATGTCTCTGGCAATTCCGCATATAACGCGCAGCTTTCCCGCGAAACGCGCCATAAGCGCGTTACCTTCCCGCACAATGCGCAGAATTCCCGCGCGCGCGCCTTGCGCGCTTTCTCGCGCTTAAGCGCCCTGCATCGCCTATCATCCAGGAACGTCCATCTATGTCCATCCACCTCATTGGTACGTCATATTCCTTGCCTCGTGGTTTGTAACAAGTGTTGCAGCACTATTACATGTCATTATGTATTCATAGTGCTTACTGCTCCTATTCCTTCCGCTTCCGATGCGATTTCCATAGTATAAAGTTTGCTGACTTACTACTCCATCATTATTACTCCCCTTTGCTGTACTTCCCTCGCTATTGGGTTTTACTTTAAAGTAGTAGTCACCACTTGGGCGCACTTTGTGTTTCCAATGGTTATCGTTATCCACCTATACTAGACCTTAATCCGACCTCATTATAACACTCACTCTGCATTTGCACTCGCTTTGCACATCCGTTTCCATATCCGTTTCCTCATCCGGTATTCTCCCGCACAACGCACGCCTTAGCGCGCACTTTCTCACGCTCGCGCTCCTACCTTAGAGCACTCTCTCGTGCTTCGCGCTCACTTCGCTTTTCTTCTCACGCTTTCGCGCATCCATCGCACTACAAGGGTCTTTCATTCATCTGGTTCTGTGTTCAGTAGCAGTCCCCTTTAGGGTCAAATGTTCTTGCATTCTGCGAGTATAGCAGCTAGGCAGAGCCAAGACTCACTTATACTGGTTGAGCATTTTTAGATATTTCATATCAGCCCAGCCAGGTTGAGATCGCCTCAGCGATTTTACACATCATCAACTGCTCCGACTAATTCATGAGCACTAGCTCGACAACGGTCTTGAGGAGAATTTAGTGATTACCATGGCTGTAATTAATACCAATAAGCCATGCTATTATTGAAGTTGTCTTGCATCATGCTTCGTGGTGTGCTTAGTGTCCTCGCCGTCGTGTGCCATTAGTGCGAGCAAGCGTGGGAAACAGCGACGAGACACGTGACATCCTTGGGCTCAACAGTCTCATGTGGAATTGGCTGTAATTCAACATTAATCACATGGTAGAGTACTTAGAGTTATGGTCATGTTGAAGCAGAAGCAGGAGTCAAGGTCAAAGTGAAAGTCAAGGTTGATGTCAAAAGGTTCCTTATTCAGTAAGATCTAAGTCAAAATCAAGTGCAACAAGTTCAAAACCAAGCTCTTGAATTTTGTCCAATACAGGCCCTCATATACATAGTCCATGAAGTTTTGAAGCTTAAGCTTGAAGTTTGAATTTGAAGCCTGCTTCAGAGAACGGCTTAGTGATGAGAACTTGATGTCAGTAACTGTTGATTGGTTGAGCTTCGTAATTGAAACCCCGCTCTTCAACTTACCATGTACTACCAGTCTACCACCTGCCACTTAGTCTGTGCTGACAATGACCAGGAAGGATAGTATCGAGGAATTGTACATATTATTCGATGATATTCTCTTTCACGTCAATTATCCCCGGTAACTCTCTTACGCATAACACAATCACGATGAGCATTCAAAATTATAATTACTGATTTCTGCCATTCTGCCCATCATACTAGGTTTCAAAACAGTGATCCATGCTACATGAGAGACAGGCTTTCTCGGCTGTACCGCTCCAACGTTCTCTACTTATTTACCAGGCCCATTACAGAGCCCCATTGTAGGAAAGACTTTTCAACAAGTGGCATCAGCCATCTTACTGATGTATGTGGACATCGTACTTACGTCACTCTATGATTACAGGCCCTCTGGAAAAGTAGGGTTCATCAGCCTTGACTGCATAACCAAAGACGGCACTGCGATGGATGCTGTAAATGACTGCGACCCTATCCTGTTCCCATTATCAATGGCAGCGGTTCTGAGGGCATTGAACTTAGGGGTGTAATCCAATTTACGACACTTGACCTTCTCACTCAGTAGCCTGCTTCAGCCTGTTCGTGATTGAAACGTGTTCCTGCATTTTACGTATGCGGACTGGCCTTTAGTAAGGCTTCTTAGGAAGTCAACTGATAAAATTCTGTCAAGTTGAGAACGTTTGATGATATCAAAATTTACAAGTAATTCTCACATACAGCACAGCCATACCATATACTGCTGCATGTGAGGTATGTAAGCCTGTCAACGTTGCTGGTGGTTCATGTATCTAGAATACCCCGCGGGCAAGCCTCACCTGTGCATGGTCCCAGAAGTGATGCATGATCTATCTGATTCGGATCAATGCGAATTTCCTGCCTGTGCTATGGGAAGAGTTAATGTCAACACTATAAGTATGTGCCCATATGGTGCTAGCCCACTTAGCTCTAGTGTCTTCAGCGGA